CCTGGTGAGCCTGAGCAACAGGGACAGGAAGTGACCAGGGCGTCGCTCCGAGGACAGCCGGCAGCCCGGAGGCCGCTCCCGGCCCCCTCGCTTCGCGGCATCAGGGTTTCTGAAGCCAGAGGGCTCTCCCTCCAGCTCACAGGCAGCACCAGGGCCCGGGCTGCCGCCAGCCTGACTCAGCGAGTCCTCGCCGTACGTCCGGCTCTGAGACTCCAAGGGAAACGAGCAGAACAAACCCGTTTACACTGGTCAGCGGATGCACACAGGAGGCCGTTCCCACGCATCTCGTTAGCCTCGTCTCCAGCCCCCTGACGGCACTGGCCTGACCCGAGGACCTGCTGCCGGACGCGCTGAGCACTCGTGTGCCGCGGCTGCTCCCGTGCGCTGAGCGCGGCCTGTCATCGCTCTCAGGGCGGTGCGAGGGCTCGCTTACGGCCCGTCCCCCGCTCCTCCCCGTCCCCCCCACACCCTTCCATTTTAGAAGCGCGGGCTCTGCCCCCCAGGCTCCCAGTTAGTCTGAGAGGTGTGTTGTGTGTGTGTTTTGCTTTTTTTTTTTTTTTTTTTTTTTTTTTTAATCTCTATGTTGTTTATCTCTGCTCTGATCTTTATTGTTTCCTTCCTACTGCTTACAATGTGCTTTTCTAGTTGCTCTCTTTCTAACTCTTTGGGATGTAGGGTTAGATAATTTATTACCATTTTTTCATGTTTTTTGAGCTAGGTCTGTTGAGAGAGAGAGGTCTGGCAGTCAGACATCCCCCAAGGGGTTCTGGATTGCAAGAGGGTGCAGGTTGGGCTGAGGGACCCGACCCACCCCGCCCATGCACGGATTTCGTGCACCAGGCCTCTAGTCATTAACATAAAATAATAGAACATTTTAATAAAAATTAATATTTTTTCTTGAATGTTAACTTACCAGACACTGAATAACCGCACAAATTAATAAGCGTAATGCAAATAAACCTATTTTTCTTGTTCTCCAAAGCAAAATATTTCCTGTTGTGCACACAAAATAAGTCACTCCAAGACTAATGACGTGGCAATCAGCTACTAAAATATTTGCTGCTAGTGTTAGTGGAGAGAAATGGTGCACCTGCGGGTAAGGCGCGTAAGGGAAATGAATGCAACATGGTTATAATAGTCAGTCATTAGTGAACATTGTAGTTCATTATTCCGTGTATCCCATACTCTTTACCCCATCCTGCATCCCGCACCCCACCCCACACCCCACCTTGCACCCTGTATCCCATACTCTTTACCCCATCCTGCACCCAGCACCCCACCTCACACCCAGTTCTTCATCCCACACC